ATTATTTATATTTCCTATTCAAACACAGTCTGTGACTTCATTTGAGGTGAATTTACCTTTTTAATCATGTTGTACTTAATCTGATACTAATATTGGTGGACATTCCTTGATCTTACAGCAAGTAGTGTTTGTAATTCAGGAAGTTCGGGGGTTGTAGAAGAGAAAGACGGGAGAACTAAAAGAATACTGAAGCCAGTCTACTTTATGGTTAATAAACAATTGTATGTTTGATGTTATTTATGTTAAGCTAGCAGAAGTTGAATGATTGTATCCTTTTGCTGCAAGTATCTTTAAATAAATCAGGGAGAATCAGCAGAACTAAATATGAAAGCACTGTGAACATTAAGAATAGCAGTTAATTTGTTCTTTTAAGTCTTAGTTGAGTTTACATTGATGTGCTCAAGAGTTGTAAGGTATAGAATTACTCGTCCTAGTCTGATTAAACAGATTTTGTTGCACATATTTATTAGGTTCCAACACTGAAGTTCTCAATCAAGCTTGGGAACTAGATACAATTTATGCCCTGGAGACCTAGAATGACATAGTTGAGTAGTTCCACACTGGTGTAATTATGATCAGCCTAACATCTGGAACAATCAGTTTGAAATGTTTAACTACTCTGAACTCTGATCCAAATTCAGATATGCAGTTATAAATAGATTTTCCTCTGAATACTCAAGAGAATTAGCAATTAAGACAATACTCTAAATAATTATTTTTTAGGATGTTTACATATTTTCCAGAATCTGCCAGACAGTTAACCTTCTATAGAGAATCTCAGCTGATAAAAAGCCTTTTAAAAAGATTGCAACTTGGGAAATAGCATTTGAACAATATTATTTGTTTGGACTTAGATATTTACCCTAGAAAATGAGTAGAAAATTCTCCAAAGGGTTCTTGAGATAGGTGTTTTATGATACTGTGTTTATACCTCCAGAAGATAATTCTGTTTATTGCAAAGTAAACATTCTCTTTGTTGCTACTGACATTCCTTATGGTCAGTAGAGGGAGCACAAGTTTTCTAACAAACCTTCCATCACAAAATTGAAGTGACATCATCAGTGATGGTATAAAGGGGAAAAAATCTAGGCTAGTTTTATTGGTTCATGTTCCATGATCCCTGAGAAAAATTAAAATATATTAAGGAGAAAGCCAAGAACCAAAAGATAAAATGTAATATCAGGTTTGGAGACCATATTTTAAGTTGAGATATATTAACAAGAAAAAATGGACATAATTCCTTTAAAATTCAAAAATCTGGGTTGTGATGCACAGATTGATTAATGGTTAAATTTAATTTTACTGGAGGTTTTGTTTGTTTTTTCTTTGCTTTATTTCCTTATCACAAATTCTAAAGATGATTGTAGGGCTGTCTGAAATGGTTACTTACAAGTTATGTTAAAATTTGGTACAGGAAAAGAGGTAGTGATTTATGTGTGGGCCAGTTATGTTTTTGTATTCTTTATGAACAGCTAGAAATTTCTTTCTCAGAGCAGTGTCCTAGAGACTGATTGTATTGTGATTAAGGACTTATTCATTAGTTAAGAACATATATTTCAGCAAAAAATACCTTGTGCCAAAAAATCTTATAAATGAAGCTGGTGGTTCCAATGGAATGTTTCCATGTTTTGTGAGCATTTGATAGGACATGGAAGATGGTTGTTGTCCTTGTGAAAAAGTTGTTTTTAATTGATTTGAGAATTGTGCTATTTAGATTATTCTACCAAGAAACTCAGATGGCATGGATGCTTATTTGTGATACTGTGTTAGGGTTAAATACAGAGAACCCCAAGTCATTTAATCGCTGTCTTTAGGATCTTATAGCTATAAACAAAATTTTGTAGCTGAACATTTTTATAACACTTTTACATCCTTTTTTTTTAATGGAACAGCTCTTTAAATTAAATAGGACCAATGGAAACAGGTTTATTTTATAGAGACGTTAATTGAGATGTGTTGAGATTTAGTGAGCTATTCAAGGTTGTATAGCATATTACCATAGTGAACAAAACCAGAATCCAGAGCTCTTGACTCCTAGTTCAAGGAGTTGCCAACTAAGAGTTCATGCAGCAGTAGTCTAGGATGGATGATTTGAAAATACAGGAAAATTGTTTAAAGCACCAATCCTTTGTTAAGTGCCTATTTTGTGCAAGGCCTTGTGTCATTAATTTTGATAAAAAATGAGAAAAATCATAACTGTCCATGAAGCTATATTGTGTAGTGGTAATGCAAATAGTAGACAAAGAGTATTTAAAACAATAAAATGTTTATATCATATGAAAGCTAAAGATACTTTTTAGGGCTAATGCAATAGAAAACCCGCTGTATACTAGTATATAGTTAAGGAGAGAATTTGGAGGAAATAGCCAAGGGAGTTTTGTTGACATGCAAAGAGAATGGCTCTGAGACTGAGGCCATAGTTCTTGCAGGAGGTAGCACTTCCCATTCATTTAAATGAGTTTACTGAGGCAGTCAGGTTGAACAGGGCTGGTTTGGAAGTTACAGTTAAGAGGGAATGCTAAATCATATAATCAGAGATTTAGCTGAGACCTTGGAGGCTATGTAGTCCACGCGTTAATTTTACAGCTAAGGAAACTGAGACCTAGAGTGATTCTGAGTTGTGTGCCCAAGATTAGTCACATAGCTAGATGGGGGCAAAACTGGAATTAGATCCCTTCCAAATGCTTGGAGATGAAAAAACAGTGAAATAGATTGATAATAGAATCTAGAAGGTGGCAAATTGTGGAAATATATTGGATGTGTGGAGTAGAGTTGAGTATAATTTTTGCAGAGATGTGATTTCCATCAATCTTTAAAAGAGAGGAAAGAGAACTGTTTTTGGTTTCTTGGACAGAGTACATCAAAATAGAAGGATATAGTGATGCAGGGAACAGTTTGAAAAGTAGCATGAACTGCCTGGTGGCAAATATGAAAATGACCTTCCCAGCAACTTCTAAGACATTTCTTTAATAACAATAATAAAGATGATGATGATATTAACAACAACAGCAGCTACCATTTATTGAATGTTTACATTGTGTCCAGGCTTCATGTCAAGTGTCTTATGGACATGAGTTGATCTAATTATTTCTCACTGTGACCTACGTATTACTATACCATTTTGTAGATGAAGAAACTGAATCTCAGAGAGATTAAGTTATTACTCTAGTCACACAGGTAGTTGGCTATGGAGTAAAAATTTAATTTCTGATTCTGTTTGAATTCCAAAGCTAGTGTTTCTCAAACTTGAGTCATGAATGGACCTTCCTTCTATAGGAAAAATAATCTATCCCATACCCTATGTTGACTTATTTTTATTATAAGACAACTTAACTAGGTGTAAACATAAATCCCTTAAGCTCATAGCTCTTACATAATTCAAAAAGAACTTTAAAAAATTATGAATTAGGGCCGGCCCTGTGGCCGAGTGGTTAAGTTTGCGCGCTCCGCTTCAGCGGCCCAGGGTTTCACTGGTTAGGATCCTGGGTGTGGACATGATATTGCTTGTCAGTCTACGCTGAGGTGGCGTCCCACATGCCACAACTAGAAGGACCCACAACTAAAAATATACAACTATGAACTGGGGGGAATTTGGGGAGAAAAAGCAAAAAAAAAAAAAAATTGCAGCAATTGATAGCTCAGGTGCCAATCTTTAAAAAACAAAACTTATGAATTAAAAGAAGCAAAACTTACATAGTCAGTAAAATTCAAATTAATAATATAAATTTAATGTGAGGGATGAAATTTTTGCTCAAGTGAAAATACTGATTGCAAGATCAATTTGTAGCTAACTCCTGTGGCGCAGTTCTTTTCAGTTTAGCAGCCCGTATGGCCACGTGCTTTGTGATAACTTGGTTCTGCTGCCAATTTTCTCTGTTCTGATTCCTTTAAAATATCCCTTCAGACCATACTTTGTAGTATCATTTGACCTTCACTTGGTGCAATCGGTTGTTTGTTGTTAATCCCACCTCTGTTTTCATTAGCTGTGATGAAGCTCTGCCACTTGGTGCCAGTTTGATGGTTTGGGGCTCTGCAATGTCTTGGCAGTGTGTATTTAGTTATAAGATGATAGCCATCCAGGTGTTATAGAATATGTTTATGTCAATTATTTTTCAGGTTATTTTCTAGAAGAAACCGCAAAATTTAAGAAATTCACAGACTCTGCAAATCATAACCAGGCCTCTCGTGTTTCCACTTAAAGAAAAAATTGCACTGCACTTTCTCTCAAAACACTACATCATAGAACCATCTGGTTTCTGCAGGGTAACAGTGGACAGCCAGGAAGGCTTCCCTTGCCACCTACTTTCCGTGCTGCCTTAGTTCAGGCCACCACTGTTTTGCATCTGAATTTTTGACACAGCCCATAGTTTTACCTCCACCAAACTTTTCTCCACAGTGTATTCCACACTAGTGACTTTTCTATAATACAAACTTTCAGGACTCAGCTTAGGAATCACCTCTGTCTGGAAATTTTCCCCTATTGCTTCTCCTTATCTCCTGCTTTCTCATCCCATCCCCATTATCACCTTCACCATCCTCTCCCCTAGGTTGAATTAGTTCTCTTTCCTTCATTCCTCCTTTATAAGTAACACCCAATGCATACCTCTATTATAATTCTTAGCACTTCATGTTGTAGTCTTTAATTTTTTGGTCTCCCCAAGTAGACTGTTAGCTTCTTAAAAGTAAGGTCTGCCTTGTGCATCTTCTCACTAGCATGTTGTCTGAATGGGAAAGCAGGTTCTGATGATAGGGCTGTGATCTTGAATCACTGGTCAGTCAGCTGTAATTTTAGCAGTGAGGAGCCAAAAATAGGCAAGAGCAAAGTAGGCATTTCCTCATCTTTCCCATTCATGTATGTAAAATTTATACAAATTACCTAAATAGTTAATGTAGTAGACCCTTTTAGCACATAAGCAACATAATTTTGGAAGTAATTTGTCCATAAAGAATGAAATGATGGCCTCATTTTGCTGTCCTTTTGTTTTGTGTTCTTTCATTAGGTGCTGTGATTGTCTCCACGCCCCAGGACATTGCACTGATGGATGCACACAAGGGTGCTGAGATGTTTCGAAAAGTCCACGTGCCTGTAAGCATTTACAGTGAATGCTTGAGCCCCTTGAGCTTGTTGCTCAAGAGAGCAGAACTGAGACTAGGGAGGCATAAGTCCCCCTTCAGTTCTCAGAAGAAAGAAACTCTGTATATAATGCACACACTCTCATCACCTTCTTTACCATAAATAGAAGGTCCTTTTTCCTAGTGTGCCTCAGCAAAAGCAAGGGGACTTGTACCAGAGTACGGTTTGGAACAAGTGTTTCAGCGCAAAGCCAACATGATGCTTCCATCTACATGGCTCTCCAGGGCCCTGGCTTAATTTGGGGACAGATTTTAGAGTTCATACAGCAGAGCTTTTTAGACGTCAGCTCATGGTTTAGCTGGAGGGGAATCTCATGATTCTCTCTCCCTGATTCTCTGCCACCTGTGCTCCCCTCCTCCCAGATTGTGTATGTTCACTTTGCGTTTGCTTTGATGTGGAGAGAATTCATAGCTCTTGTTCAATTCTTCAGTGAGACTGTGACATAGTATAAGGTCCAATGATGTGTTAGAATGAATGCACTCTCAGGGGAGCTTTCACCAGGGGTTTTCTCCCAGGAGCTCCTGGAAAGTACACAATAGTGGAGTAGTGGAGTTGAGACGATCCTCTTGGACAAGCACCTCTTCTCCCTTGCCTGTTAGTGCAGAGGTGTGTGCACTAGCAAGCCGGGAGCTGTGGATCGGAGCAGCCTGCTCCTATGAGAATTGAGGAGCCTGGTGAGGATGAGGCCTGTGTGCTTACCCTCCGGCTGATCTGAGGGTATTCTCATGAGCGGGGGTAAAATTGTGATCAGAAGGTGTTCTAGGGCCAGCTTTCACATGTAGATTAAGAGTGACAAAATCCCCGTGGTGTTCCATGTTGTGAATTTTAGCTTGGAAAACTTTTAAAGCCATGGTAACCAAATGCCCGCCTCAGACAGGTAACTCTCTCCATAAAGCTTAGTTTGATCAGTGTGACTTCCTGTTGTGCCCTCCGAGATAAACTAGATGCAACTAGATGTGCCTACCCAGACAACTAAATAAAGCTACTTATATGGATTTTAAAATATAAATCAGGAAAAAGTTAGAGACAGGGCTATCTACCAAAGATTATGGGAACAAGTAATCCATAATCCTTCTTTCTGGCAGAAATTAGATACCAGGGCTAATGATCTGTTACTGCCCCTTGAAGGTCAGGACGATAGCCATTCCATCAGCACGTAAGCGAATGCTTAACTTCTCATCCCATAAGACGAGGGTGGAGGCACACGTCCAGCTCATCAAAAATATCATGAAAACTTTGAGGGAAAAGTTTTAAAAAGAGCAGAAGCCAGAACATTTTCTCCCTGTAAATTATCATTTTGTCCACCAAGGGACCATTTCAACTGATGCTGTCACTTGGGGTAGCTGTGGCTGTGGGGAAGGCCCTGCGTGCACTTTGCTAGTTGGGGGTCTAATGACCATAGTTGCCAAATGCAGCATCTGTACCTTTCATTCCTTATGTTATTGTCACTTCCGTTATAGGGCTTTTAAGGGGCTTTTTTAAATATTATGACTTATAGGGCAGCACTTGAGCCTTACTGCCCTCTAAGTCAAGAGGCAAACAATCTCATAACTGCTCTCACGGATTTTTCTCCAACTCTGGGACAGAGAACGTGGGACAGAGAAGCGTTGTGGAACGTAACAGTGGGGAAGAGGGATGGTCACTAAGTCCAGGTTAGGCTATTGCTAGGTGGATACCACTGAAGGATAAAAGTTGAGGATATCAGCAAGGAAGTATTGTGAGGCAGTATTCCAAGTGGAGGATCTTGGGCTTCATAAGGCTCATAGGACTAGTGCAGGATTAGTTAGGGAGGGAAAGAGCTGTTTGTGATCAGAAAATTAATGCTGGAGTTTGTTTGCAGAGTTGGAGCAGTTCTGGGTCATGACAGGGTCCAGGACGTGGTTGGTCCTGGGTGTGTGAGGCTGAAACGGAGTGGAAATGAATGTCATTGGAAATACATAATCCCTCCATGTTCGCTTTTTTGACATCATCCTGTGTCTTTATTAGAGCCCTCTTTTTTTCACCACTAACTTTTCATTATTTGCCCTGTAAACAGCAAAAACTTTGAAAGGAGGTAAAATATCTTAATCATCTCTTAAACGTATAGAATAAGATAGATGCTTAGTAATCTTTGCACGTAAATGAGTGAGAACTTTCCAGCAATGAGCTCTGTAAGCAGTTGGACAAGCACGGTGCATTGTAAAGGGAATCCTGGCTATGAGTGGGATGTGGGTTTGATGACCTCTGAGATCCTTCTAGCACTTACGAGCCTTGAAATCTAAGTAATGGTAAAGCATTTGAAGTCAGAAAGTGTTCCATAAATGCAAAGGAGAAATGTTATGCTTTGTTTATGCCACTTTATTTCATTTTTCTCCTGGTTTTTAGTCTTGCTCTCTGTTTTTTTCCCCTTTTGAAATGCATTAGTTACCATGGAAACAATGACATCATTGGAATTCATTGGTATGGACAGAGTTTAGTAATGTCTACAAGAACATTTTGAAGTTAATTTAAATGATTGCTTAAACTCAGGGCTCAGATCCGGGAAGGAGAAGAAGAGGTGAACTGTTAAATTCTCTGTTCTCTGCCTGAAATGATGTCAGCTCTGCCAAATCCTTGATTATCTCAGTATTTGTAGATAGACTATTTTTAAAAAAGTAATTTAAGATTTTCAATCTTATGTATTATTAGTGGTGAGTATTTTATGTGTTGTGTCATTCTCACCCATTTTTGGTGGGCTTTTTCTACAAAGGAGGCCCGGGCACCTCAGTTTGGAGCCCTTCCCCTTCCAGGGGAACTTTTGCAGTCACGGGGATTCCACTGTCCAGCCCTTCCTTCTTAGGTAGTCCCCTTCCCAGCTCCCGAAAGTATACTAAAGTTTATTTCCTCTCTTATTGCTTTGTACATAAGAGATCACTTAGTTAATTTTAATCCAATAAACAGTTACTAGTTTATTTATTCTACGAATACATATATACTGATGTTGAGTGCCTTCTATAAGCAAAATACCGTGATAAGTAAGCTCCATTGGTGATTTAAAGTAAGCTCCATTGGTGATTTAAAGAAAGAAAAAGGAGGATGAAGTCTTTTTCTTCAAGTCTCTTCTCATCCTGTAGACTGACTCCATTGTAGTGCAGGGGCGCTAAATTCTGAGGAACATAAGAACACTTTCTTCTCTGGGCTATCAAGCAGGACTTTCTTAGAAAAGCCGTGATTTTTTTCATGTCCCTGTAATTTTGCACCTGCTGGTCCCTTGCCTGATAAGCCGTTGTCAGCCTGGGAACTCATATTTATTTTTCAAATCCCTGCTCAAGCATTGCTTCCTCTAGGAAGCTTTTCCCAAACTGCCAGAAAAGGTTAATAATTCTTTTTCTGAGCTATTTGAACATATCTGGCTTGGCTCTTATCCTCCTGCAGGTTTACCTATCAGTCTCCACAGAAGAACGTGAGTTCCTGGGGGGCAAGAAGACATGCCTCAAAGATCCTTAAATGCTCAGTTACCTGGCAGATAGCAGGCAAATGATAAGCACGCCTTATCCTGACATTTCACCTGGGATATAATGCCACCCACAATCTGCTCTTCCCCTTGTCCCCAGCTCACAGGCCACTCTGCCTTGCATTCTCTGCCACGGTCAAACTGGTTGTCTTGCACTTCTTTGCGATTTCCACAGTTTCTGTCTTCATGGTCCTCAGCGTGCTGTTACTGCCCCGCCCCCCAGCCCTGAGAACCCTTTACCCTCATTTTTCACCTGGTAGCTCCTTTTTGTTTTTCAGTACTTAGATTAAATGGCTCGCTCTCTGGGAGACTTGCCCTGACTCTCTTAACTAGGTGAACTCTTTCTCGTGTGATGCAGTAACACTCTGTTTCTCCTTTTGTAACTGATTCCGCATTTGTCAGTACTTTCACATGTATTAGGGCCATATTGTAAGCTCTGGGTGCAGGAACCACTTACCTCCCTCTGTACCTAGAACATATAGCTGCTCACTAAACATAAACTGAATGAATGAGCGGAGTCTGAAATTCATAGGCGTATCAAGGGAGTGGGGTGGGGCAGAATTTAATCTGAAAAGAATCAGGAAATCACAAGTTGTGTTCGGGGTTGTTCAGTTTGTCTATAGTTGAAGTAATATGTTTGGGTATGTCTATGCTAGGCCCAGGTTTGGTAGGGCTTTAAACACTGGGCTAAGAAGTTTGTTCTTGAGATTTTTTTCTTTTTTTTTTGAGGAGGATTAGCCCTGAGCTAAGATCTGCTGCTAATCCTCTTCTTTTTGCTGAGGAAGTCTGGCCCTGAGCTAACATCCGTGCCCATCTTCCTCTGCTTTATATGTGGGATGCCTGCTGCAGCATGGCTTGACAAGTGGTGCATATGTCCACACCTGGGATCCAAACTGATGAACCCTGGGCTGCTGAAGTGGAATGTGTGAATTTAACCGCTGCACCACCGGGCCGGCCCATGTTCTTCAGACTTTTAAAGTTGTCCATAAAGAATGCTGGATAGGAAATAGACATAATTAGAATGGAGCTTTGAAAGTATTTAATCTGGTGAAAATAAATGGAAAGGACAGGAGCCAGGAGAGTGGAGGCAGAAAGGAAGCATTTGCAGTGGTCAAATTTATCCCCACTGCAGGCTGTGACCCACCAGTGAGCCAGGAAGTCAGTACAGCGAGCGACGTAACCAAAGGTTTTAAACAGTATCAGAGTAAATTGCTCTTAGGAAGAGGAAGTCTTATTTCATAAACATTTGGTCTTAGTTATAACGCGTAACACGTGTGCACTTGTATTGGATCAAGATGAAAAATATTTCACTTATCATAAAAGGCAGTTTTAATAAGATGGGAAAACCCTGGTGTAGGTGATTGAGAGTAAGGGTCTGATCTAGAATAATGCCAGTGAAAATGGAAAGGGGGGTAAATGGAACTGACATTTTGAGGGAGGAATTGACAGGCGTGGCAATTGATTACATAGGGTGTGGGCT